CTATTCCCACATAATCAACATAACTCAACAATGCTCAAGACCTGTCACTAGGGTCATCATAATCCTCCTAAGAAGGTAAAACTACATCGGAAGACTCACGATCAACCAAGGGTCAAACTACCCAAACTTGGTCAAACGGGCCCAAGGGGCCCACAACGTCCAAATTCAGATCCGAAAGTTCCTATAGGCTCTACAAGGTTTAGAATACACGTCTTGCAAGTTTGGTCCGGATCGGACTATCTGCTCGCTCACGATCGGACGGTTACTGTAAACCTAGCCCTAAAGTTGGCATTTTCGGAGTATCCGGGACTCCGTTTTACGATCCGTCGAATCCTACATGATCCTAAGTATATCTAGATTATCATATATCAACTTCACGACGATCCAAAGGTTCAAACCTATCAAACCCAGATAACGCACAATATGTGATATCCGATCGGCAATCACATGATATCCGAATTCATATCCGAGCATACCGTCGTGCTCGTGACTACATGAGGATAATTTTAGGACTCAAAGACCTGCCAACAAGTGGCCCACGAGCCGCCACACGTGCCGGTAGAGCGTAGGTGGCTTGATCAAATTCCGGCAACCAGAAATCTTCAAAACTGGAAACCCAGCTTCCTACCCTAGGTAAAACACCCTATTTGGAACCACTTTTGTCCTTGGACCTACCCCAAAAACTGACCGGAAGTGAACAGAATCGCGATCCCAAAATCAGCCAAAATCCAATTCGAAAATCAAGCTATCTACGCTCAAAATTGATGCAATCCTACACAACCATCAGCTAGATCGTGAAAAATAGGTAGAAAGCATACCTCACTAGTCCGAAACGGTGGCCGGATGACGGAGAACGAAGCCGGTGAAAAACAATCAAAAATCGACGACTTCTCACTACTTTTCCGGCGGATTCCGGCAGTGGCTGACATCGGGGATGGTTGGGAAAGGCTGCTGGGGTGGTGAAGGTTCGAACCCGACGGGTCTGGTGGCCGGTGGTGCTCCGTGTCGGCGGCAGTGACCAAAAATGGCCGTCGGTGAACAGTACCAGGGGGTGTCGAGCGAACCAGTCAGAGGAGAGAGAGAATGAGAGAGAGAAGGAAAATAAGATTTTTATCCAACTCATTTTCAAACTAATTATGGTTGTGCCATTGGTGATGTTTTGCTCGTAACTTCTTCGTTTCAATTCTGATTCGAGCCCACTACGTGTCTACAGACTCATCTTGCCGTGCTCTACGCAACGACACAGTTGAAATTCCAAAATTCCTTCCCGGTCAAAAAGTTAACTTTAAACCTCATAAAATATTATATGGGTAAAATGATCTTTTATCTGAATAAATTAATGCTTACCCATTTATTTAGGACCGGGTCGTTACAAGCAGATTAATAATTTAGACTATTACTAGTATTTAGAAATAATTTTTTTTAATATAAAAAGAGTAAGACTAGTGTTACTTAACATGAAAACAACAAGTTAGGTTTTATTTTCTGAGTACCGATTTGGGAGTGCTTCTACATAGATAACTTATTCTCATACGCTCTTTTATTAGAAGATCATCGAAATTTTAGCTAAAAATCCAAATGCTTCCTGAAAATACGCCTACCAGATGCTTCTCTATAAAATTATTTTATGATCCATTTGTGCTTTTAAATTGTTCTATCAAACACAGTTATAAGTGTTTTTGGTTGTTAGAAAGCGCTTTTAGCCCTCTCAGAAGTACTCCCATACAAACCCTACTTGTAACTTCCGAGAGTAATTCTTTTGTCGGAAATAAATTTCAGCCCCATGATGTATTTTTGACAGACAACATTTTTTGGTCGGAAAAAACACTTTTACCGAGGGAATTTCGAGGCCCTCGGAAAAAATTGGTCGGTAATGACCCTTTTTTTTTGTAGTGTGATTAAAAATAGTCCACCCCTCTTTGTTGACATTAGCCTATCCCAACGATAAGATTTCATCTCTAGAGGCACCCACTCACATCGAACGTCATGTTTTTCTATTACCTATCCATGTAAGCTATAACTTTATATTTCTATGGTTTCTATTACCCAGTAGGTCTCCTCCTCTTAAAAATTGTATTAACTTATATGCAATGGTTTCTTTAATATTTGTAAGTTTCTATCTTACTTTTTGTTTAATTTCTAATTTCAATTGTTATTGTTAGTTTTTTATGGTTTGGGTGTTAAATTTTGGATTTTATTGATGATTTTTCCTTTTTCTAGTTTAATTTATTCACTTGATCTCTGCTTCTATATAGTCTAGTTGACTCTTGGTTTTGTTGAATGGTTGGCTTGTGATTGTGCAATTGTAGATCTATATGACTGCACTTTATACTTCTATTTGTACTCCTGTAAAATTTAAAATTTTTTAATTGAAGAATAGTTGCAACCACTCATTTCATTTGCATATAAAAAAAAATGAAAACCTATAGCCTAGAGCCAATTAACCATGTAAACCTGTTTTTAAGAAGAAAAAAATAATGTAATACAATGGATTCTCCATAAAAAAGAATTTAACTCACCACTATGAAATTTACTGGGTCCGCCCCTCATTAGGGTTCGAACCTGAGACCACTAACATGCAAGCAAATACTCTTACCACTAAGCTAAAAACCTGTTAGTGCATATTTGGTTGTTATTGGTTACCTGAAAAAGTTAGGGTATAAATGCATTCCATAATTGACTAGTGTCATTAGTGCAACAAATCACTACCGCCATCACCACCATTTTCATGCATGGTTACTATGTACCACCCTTTATTGCTTTTGTGGTTCTACGTACCGTTAAAATATATAGTACATGAAAACTATCGAATTATGTATAACCATTGTTAACAAGATTTCTATTCTAGCTGCAGTTTATCGGTTCCACTCCAAACATTTCTAAACACAAATTTTCGGAAATTGAGGGAATTTTAATTTGTTCATAAATGAACCAGATTATAAGTATAAAGATAAAGATGAAGACACGAGAATGGAGTCAGGAGGCCTGTAGTTCAAATATTTTTACCGGCCAAATACATTTTCAACAGACTAAAAAGAGTAAAAAGCCCATGGTATTTTCAAAACCACCATCCTAGACACAAAACAGCCCATGGTTTCATTTCATCTATAAAAATAACCTAAAGAGCAGTCAGGTGGTATGTGTCAGCAAAAAAACCCTTCTGCCGTCTCTAGTTCTAATTCATATTTTCTTAGGTTTGGGGGTTCCTCTGTGAGAGAGAGAGAGAGAGAGAGAGAGATAAATGGTGAAGGCATCTGAGTTTTCTGAAGGCCAAGAGGAAGAGAAAGATGATACTAGAACTGGAGAGTCTGATCCAGGCTTCAAAATCGCATCGATGATTTACCAGAGGTAGAATTCTATTTTTAAATAACCTTGTGCTGTTAGGGTGTCAATCATGATTGTTTAGATCCAGATCTGGAAAATTGGGAGCACCTTTTGATAAATATGTTCCAATTTCACTCGTTTATTATTACATTTTTCTAGATTTAGTTTTCTTTTTCTAGAATCTGAAGTCTCTTTTAACAAATCATCCTATGCCGTAAAAACATCCACTAAATTTAAAGGAAATTTATTCGTTATTGTAACCAGAACTGGTTTGGTGATTTAATCGATGTTATTTGATTTGCAGATCTAAAAGTCCTATTAGAATTTTAACATGTTTCAAAACCCTATAGTCTGAGTATATTTGCTCATGGTTTTGATAACCCTTTAGTTTTTATGATGTACCAGAATTATATATATGTATCCAATGCTACACAAATTGGAAGCTAACAATCGTAATGGGACCACACTTAACAGAAACCCTGCTGATTTTAACATGCCGGGAGTAGGAAACAGGTACATGATTAGAGGTGAAGACCTACAATTTGGGAAGCAGATTCCTTTTTCAAGGAGGCATGGCTTAGTTAAAGTGGATCAGCACAAGTGGCAGAGAAATATGAAAGCCCTCTACCAAAAAGGAAACGTAGATACCACATTGAATTTGAGGAGGTTCTCACTTGCTCATGATATCTACGCTTATTAGTATTTCCTTTCCTTGTTTAAACGAGTTTATGAATTCTATTGTATTCTGCAGGGAAATTTTTTCCAAGAAAAGGCACGTGAAGTGGATGAAGAGTCAAATGAAATGATTCTTAGAACAAGGTTAGCATCCTTTTCGTTGAAATTTTTATGGTGTGTGTTTCTACTCTTTGGGGACATTATTAATGGTGTAGACTTTCAAAATGTTAATTTTTCTATTTTATTGTGTTCTTGATCAGAAATGTTGAGACACAAGGAGAAATAGTGCTCAACTTGCATGGAAAAGTTTTCCAAGAAAAGACAAGTGAAGTAGATAATGAGTCAAATGAAATGATTCTTAGAGCAAGGTTAGCATCCTTTTCGTTGAAGTTTTGTCTTGCGTGTTTCTACTCTTTGTGGACATTGATTAATGGTGGTGTATAGATTTCCACAATGTTAATTAATTTTTTTCTTTTATTGTGTTCCTCGT